CGCAAGGTGTGGTAACCAAGCCCGTAAACCATACACGTCTTACCAATCGCCAGGTGTGGTAACCCCTCTTGTGATCAGTTGGTTTTGCTGATTGCGAATCGGCTTCGCATGAAGTTTCGATACTGCTTCACGACAGCGCCAAGGCCTCATGACTTAGCTCTTCCATGGCCCATTCTCCGAGAGAGGGGGCCGGCGGCAGGGGGCGAAGCCCTTACGGATAATCTAATAAAATCAATAGGGTAATTAGACCCCGCAGCGAAAGTTTGGGAAGCACGGGCCTCCCGACCCTCTCCCCCTCCTCCTTCTGATTTGTCGTGTCGTCGTCTCCTCCCCCCTAACTTGGGCGCCCTGTCCCCTTCCGTTGGGCACGCGGAAGGACCAGCAGCCGCTCCCACCGCACTGACCCGCAGGGACTCGTAATCGTAAGGTAGCGAGCCTCTCTTACGAGGCCACCTCGGAGCTCACTCCTTGAGCAACGGGGTATGCCCCCTGCCGGCCCTAGTGAGAAGTCAGGGCTGTTGTACAACCAATCGCAGGGGATATGCCAGATGCGCGCAAGGCACCAGCGTAGGTGTTTTGACGTTGACCCCCTTATGCGGATGGCCTTGTCCTTGTGATCCTCCTCCTCTTCCTCTTCCTTCTCCCCCGCCTCTTCCTCCTCCCCCTCGGCCCGTGATCCTCGATCCTCCTTCTTGGACACCACGAAGCAACCACTCAAGAAAGGAAACAGGGAAACAAACAAGGAAACATGTAGTGCGTGGTCTAGCGAACGAGCGCGCACCCACGCAAACAAGAAAGCAGATGCAACCGAAAGAGCAATCCATGCGCATACCCATGATTGGCTTTCCCAAGCCTTGCACATGTAGTTTGGTGTTCAGGAAATGCATGGCGTTCAGGAAAAACTTTGGTGTCCAGGGGGATGTATGGCGTTCTGAAAATGTTCGGCGTTCAGCTCAAGTCACTTATAAGCTGTTGCTAACACCAGCACGCGCCCTAGTATGGGGCTGCTCGAAATACACGTTGCAAACGAAGACGAAAAAGGCAGGTACCGAGGGTTTGGAATATACGTGTTGACTGGCACGCGAGCAGGTATGAACGAACATTTGCACACTTAGTATTATTGTTGTTGTTGGGTTCTTAATTCTGAAAGATAAGTATTGTTGATCCCGCCTCCGGGGCACCTTCTATTTCTCAATGAAAGTGCTCCTCCCGATGCTCGCATCTGATTTTTTACAAGAGGAAGCTGGGGGCCACCAAGCTGGGCCACTGGCATCCGAATTATAACAACAACAACAACAACAATCATTTAAGACTGGGGACACTCCGTTCTCACCAGTGCCAGGGTTTTCATAGGAGGCGGGCAATACCCCCACTTTGTGGGGGGGCCGGTTCAAGCTCTACCAAATTTCCAAACGACTCTTCGCCACCACCCACACCCAGCTTCCCGCCCTATGACGTTCGGACACTTCACTTCGTGGCATGCGGACGACCGTGGCTACTATTCAGGGCCCCGCGGCCGACGACGACGGCGTGCGCGCGCGAAGAAAAAACGAATGTGTCCCGCATGGTATTATTTGACAGGGATGATGGCCCTGGCAGGTGCGCAACCGTTGTCGCAGAAGTTCGAAAAAGTTGCTCGCAAAAGCCCGTTTGACAGAAATGTTTAAAAAGTGTTGGGTTTCCTACGAATCCGCAAGAGCGCGCGGGATGAGATTTTGACATTTTTTTGTTGAAAAACCATTGGTTTTTTGATGTTTTTATGTTAAAATCGCTCCGAACACTAAGCTTTTGGAAGGATTTCGTCTTGCGCGCGCGAATGTCCACTTTACCTTATTTTTTGCAAGGGATTCTTGAAATTTGATTATATTAGAACAAGAAATGTCATTTTATAGTGTTTTTTGCAAGGGAAAACGGATTACAACAAAACAACCGGATCTGGATCACATCGTTTTACCTGAGGCTTCCTCACGAAAATGATGAAAATGTAGCTGCGGCCTAGGCGGCGCAGGGGGGGCGCGCACCAGGGGGCCCAACAATAATTATTCTTTAGAATAAATAATGTTCAACAACAACAACAACAACGGCTCCCGCCTGACACCTCCTCACAACGTATTGATACATCGCGCCCTCGCACGGGACTTCCTCACAAGTTATGCAGCAATCACGCTCCCGCGTGGGACGGTATCGCAATTTATTCAGACGTCGCGCCCTCAACACTCAGAAATCACGCTCTCGCTTTGGCCTTTCTTGCGATATACTTGGGATGGGCGCTATCGCTCGAGCTCCCTTCGCGATTCATGCGCTACTCACGCTTCAGCAACCCGCCTTCTCGACCTGGCCGCTTGGTTCGCTTTCCGACCCGCCCGTTAGGATCCACCCGCCCGATGGGCCACATGCTTGCTACTCCTCGCCCCCCCTGCTAATCCCGTGCTCCATCCTTTTTCCCTTCCCCTTCTATCCGTTCTCTTTCCTTGTTTCAGAGGCTGCGCCAATTACGCGC